AACTGATAAAATATATATAGCTCACATAACGGATCGTAAGGTAGTGGGAAGGTGGAGGATAATATATAAAATATGTATCGGTCACGTGATGAGTAGATGGGTTCAGGTGGAGGGGTAAATATACAAAATATGTATCAGTCATGTGATACSGGTTGAGGGAGGGGTAAATATACGTCAGGTGGCGGTGGCGGTGATGGGATGCGTGGTGTGGGATGTGGGGTGGGGTAACGTCGCGTACGTGTGTGACGAGGAGGGCCAGCAAAGGCTAGTAGGGCCAGCAGGGCCAGCAAGGCCAGCAGAGGCTAGTAGGGCCAGCGGGCCAGGGTCTGAACTCTCATTTTTATACTACTTACTTCCATAGCATAGGAATGATCGTGCTGGGTCTTCATACGCCATGAATGCAGGTTTCAAACGATCAATGGATATGACTGTCGGTTTACCTTTAATATCCACTTTGTAATATTTGTCCATCCGTTCTAATACCATAAATGGACCGTCATATGGCATCTGGAGGGGTTTCTTCACTGCATCAAATCGGACAAAGACATGAGATGTTTTCTGAAGTTCTGTTGATACAAATGTGCTCCTTGTAGATTTGTGTGAAACTTGTACAGGTTTGATTTTCTCAAATTTTTGTTTTAAATGTGACACAAACGTATCTTCATCAGGTGTATCGATGTTACTTGTGAAAAATTCACCTGGAATCCGTAGTGATGTACCATATACTAAGTATGCGACTGACACGTTAGTATCTTTTATCGCACACCGTAATCCTAATAGTACTGGTGTAAGTACTGCTACCCAATCAGATTTTGCATGTGCCTTTATTGATTGTTTGAGAGTTCTATGGAATCGTTCGATTTTTCCATTTGATTGAGGGTGGTAAGGCGTTGTCCTGATTCTATGAATTCCCAAAAGATTTGTCATGTGCCCACATCCACTTGGGTATCCTCGTCAATTCCCATCCAACATTTGGGCGAAGATAAGTCTCTTGAACAGTTGGAGGAACAGGACTTGAGGGTGGAGACGATAAGTCAATGATTTCAGTAGCCGGAGCAATAACAATGGGCCCAACATTTCTCAAAGCGTTGCGCTGTTGAGTGTTGGTTAAACGACCATGAACTGATTGCCCACTATATGACTGCTGAGTTTGAGGAGTAGTAATTTGTTGATGCTGTTGTATCTGTTGTTGCTGCAACTGTGGTTGTTGAACTTGATTATTGTTAATAGCACGCTGAGTGTAGAGTTGTCGCATATGACTAGAATGTGACATTAATTGCTATTGGTCATTGGATTGTACATAGTTGTCATACATTGGCCAATTACTGGTGCCTTGTTGCCAGCACGGACCAAAGGTGGAGGTGGTACAACATKACCCGCACCGTTTATCAAACTATTGGCTTGAGACATTGTTGAACCCTTGTATGCAGCATTATTTGATTTGTCATGTGCCCACATCCGCTTGGGTATCCTCGTCAATTCCCATCCAACATTTTCCATATCTTGTGCGTGAAACTGAACGTGATCGAGATGTTTTACTTGTGCTTGATGAACGGGATCGGTTGTCGTTTCGGTTGGCGGGGATTTTTAATTCGTTAACTTCTTTTACCAATGTTTTTAATATCTCTGTTGTTGATTCAGAAACTGTAAAAAGGAAACTGTAACATAATACACTATATTTAAATAATAATAATAATAAAAAGTATATTTACGAAAAACGATTCTGATCGGAGATGATTTGCCAGCCTAGGATATTATTATATTTTCCACTGGGTTTTGTAAAAGGTTTATGTTTTATTTGTTTTAATGACCTGAATACCMCTAAATTAAATCGTAGGTATAGAAAATGGCAATTTAAACAACTGATGTATATTTCAAGTTTCTACGAGTTATAATTTTTAACTATAACAACTATACAAAATTATTTGATGGTAAATCACTATTTTACACTTGAATTTTGGATTTTGTAAAAATTTAAACTTATAAAACAATTATTTTAAATGACCAACGCTCAACTTCTTTTATAACTATTGTAAGCCAAACTTATGGAAAATCTTGTTTTAAATTGTCAACATTAACATATTAAACAAAACATTTTAAATTTAAAACTAATTTGCCTTACTAAACATTACCTTACACATTACCTACTGGTAATGTGTATAAGTTATATTATATAGTAGTTTCTATATAATGTCACTTGACATTAATTATATAATATATTATTTATATTATTTATTTTTATTAATTTATTATTTATAGTATTATACAAATATTCATTAAAAATGTTTAATTGTGATTTTTGCTCACCAGTGCCGTATCTAGGCATTGGCAAGATGGGCGGTGGCCAAGAGCGCAGTTTAAAATGATCGCACTAGGGGCACAATTTGTATATAATTTAAATACTAAAAATGCATTATAAATTTATAACATTGGTTGCCAAGGGCGCACATAAGCTAGTTACGGCACTGTTGCTCACTCCAATATAAAAAAGATGTTCGTTGCTTCGGCATCAAAAATCCAAACACAATTTTTTTTTATATAACTGCAACTATTGTGGGTATGGTTGCAATAAATAAGTATGTTTTTATAATTATTAGTTAATTTAATATTTTTTTAATTTAGAATTTAGATTAGAGAAACTTTTTTCCACTACCTAGTTATTATGTGGTATTTCAGTTTCATTTTTCTAAATTAAATATTTTATAATAACTAATTAGATACAGTTAGTGATCCAATGATCATGTAGCAATGACTTTATAAAAAATACCTAATAACACAAAATTAAAAAATATATTTTTAGTGAATTAATTACATTAACATAATAATTAATAATGAAATATCATATATTTCTTATATTATGTAATAATATTTAATAAATATGGTCAAAATCTACATGCACATTTTGTACTAATAAATCTCCTTTCAAGTTCTTAATCAGTTGTTTAAATTGCCATTTTCTATACCTACGATTTAATTTAGGGGTATTCAGGTCATTAAAACAAATAAAACATAAACCTTTTACAACACCCAGTGGAAAATATTATATTATCCTAGGCTGACAAATCATCTCCGATCAGAATCGTTTTTCGTAAATATACTTTTTATTATTATTATTATTTAAATATAGTGTTACAGTTTCCTTTTTACACTTCTTTACACATTAAATCAGAAATGACGTAATAGCTAAAAGTATTTAGTATAAACTYAAAACTATAATAACATACTTATTTTGAAATTTGAAAAAGAGTGTTGTTCTTGAAAGTGTTGAATTAGAACCGTTTTCATATTGCAACCATACCCACAATAGTTGCAGTTATATAAAAAAAATTGTGTTTGGATTTTTGATGCCGAAGCAACGAACATCTTTTTTTTATATTGGAGTGAGCAAAAATCACAATTAAACATTTTTAATGAATATTTGTATAATACTATAATTGCACCGAGTGCCTACATTTAGACTACCATTARTACCATTATATTTACTATTTAGACATTAGACTTTAAAGTACCATATATCTGACTYGGGCGTCTATATTTTACTCTATTTTTAGACATGATAATATTTTTTATATATTTCAAAAGATCAAAAGTGATGAGAATAGCGATAAGCAATAATAGTGATCAGCATGCGATTCCTGAAAAAAAAATCCAAGTCCCCCACGCATGCGCTTTGAGTTTTGGTATCGGAAATTATCTTGTCGCGAGATGCCTGTACTTAATACTTCTTATTAGTTAATATCACGGACTATGATTAATTAATTAATCATAGTCCGTGGTTAATATATAATATAATATAATCAGTAATCGTTGACATGCGGGAACTGGTTATATAATAATAACTTTAAATAATATCGTTTTCATATTGACTATATTATCATATGTTATTTTCATCGTCGGTATTTATAAACAGTCTGAGCCACGATAAGAAAACCGGGTTTACCATACTTCGATTTTCGGCTGCATCCGAGTTCCGTCCCAATTACAAAAATTGAATTTTTAGATATACTAGTTCCGTCCAGGGTTTTTTTGACGGATATACCAATTCCGTCCCGTGTCAAATCGAATTTAA